TGAAATGACATTCCTGACCGCGCTTCCCGACCCGACATGAGGTGTTACCGAACTGAGTACAAATTATGTTACAAATAGGCCAGTGCAAATCAAAAAAATGAAAGTAAGCTTGCGCTAGAGGTTAGAGCTCAATTTAGTTCAAAAATAATGATGTTGTGTACTTCTTCCCCTACTACAGCTACTACTACTACCACCGTCACCAACACCACCTATGGTACAGTAATAAGTGTCCTGTTTCATTTTTTAATAGCACTTTAAATTAAAACAAACAAACAAACAAACAAACAAGTAAACAAACAAAACATGCTAAAAGTGTTTGCAGCATTATTTCTTTCCAAGGTATGAGGCGCAAAATACAAGTGTTTCTTGATGGAATTGGAATTTTTCAATAAACCAGGCACATATAAAAGGTCACTTCACAAGGTTCTCAATACAATGTGTTATATTACGTGTCAATATTAGGAGGCATACCGAATAAAAGTGGACAAGACACCGATTGTACTAAGAGTATGCCTATGTTCCGTTTCTTTTAAATTTGAGGGTCATTCTACCCCGTATCTTGCTGACCCGATCCCTGATGACACCCGGAACGGCCCACTTAAGAAAATTATCAATAGATTAGGATTGAGATGAGCCAAAAAGATGTATTTAATTTTTTAGCCGTTTAATTAGAAATAGTAAGAAATGGTGATTGACGTATTGACAAATACGCGCAACGTGCAACCGCTTCCGCTCTCCCTCTATACACCCAAATCTGGGCTTCCTGCTCTTTCATGAGTTTCTTTAACCCACATGGATATACCCTCCCTGGATATACTGTCTTAATCTCTTGTTTCAGTGTATCTACATTATGATTCCCATTACCCCTGGCTCTCAGATCAGACTCAGTATTCTGCTCACCAATTCGAGACGATATGCTAATTTTCAATTTAAAAATGAATTTGATCAAGGATAAAGTTGACCAGATTAATTTTACATGCGAACATAGTTAACAGAGTGACGCTTGATAGATAAACTGAAAAGAGTTCTAATTGGTTAAAATAATATTTACGTTGTAGTACCCAAGTTCAAATTTCGTTTTAAAATTGTAATGTCATTAAGATACTCTTAAAATTAAATTAAATTTATAAATAAAATAGTTAAAAGAAGTTATGAACATTTAAAAGGACCCATATTAAAACAATTCCGTTTTTGCTGATACGCAGACCTTTTATATCATCATCACTTAACAATGATGTTTTTTATAACAACTAATCATCTCGGCTCACAAATATAAAAGAAAAGCAATTTGTAGTTTTCTGTAGCTCAAATTAGATATATTTATATTTAAATTTAGGTATTTTAATTCTTCGAATATAGGCCTATAAATTAAATAGTATTATTCTTGTCAAAATAGACACAAGTTTATCAACATGCTTGCTATAATCAAATTTTCTCCTGAGTTCAAATCCTCTCTGTAGTATTTTCTTTGAATATAATTAATTTCTTTTAATATGCAAATTTACACTGAAACAATTAAATTAATTCAGAATTTTTAAGCCAAGGAGGATGTTGTTAGGGACGCGTATGAATTCAGGATGAGCATGTCTAACACATTATGACAGCTAGCTAAAGTTTCGGCAGTTAATACGTACACAGATGGTTATTCTGACTAAAAGTCAAGTAGTGGTAGATATTATTGTAAGAATGAATCATTAATTTCGGTTTGATGTGTTAAGCTTTTATTTCCAAAACCGGAATTGTGTAGGCCTCAGTTGTACTGATTTTATCTCTACCCGCTTATTACTCGATGTTGACCGAGGATGAGGAAAAAGATCAATTGCTTGGAGCCCTGTACTATCATGTCAGTTACATGATGACATTTTACGACTTCGATGACAATGCTATGCATTAAGCTATTGGAGTCTTCAAAAGTAAAGTAGGCCTACGTAGTTTACTGACATTATTTAAGGGTGATATTATATTTTATTTGCACTTTACTATTTTAAAACCATTAAACATGTTGAGCTTAAATTAATATGTGGACACATTATTCTATCAACTTCAGAAATAGCAATTTGTAAATTTCCACATCAATTAATTACCACAAACAATTACAGAGACACTACTCACTTATGATGATCAATTACAGAGTCAGAAATTATTTTACAGATGATAAAGAAATATCTTTATAATTTGATAACGGTAGTTAGGCTAATCAAAATTAAATGAAATGACTAGGCCCCATGTAAAAACGTCTGGTTACTGAGATCTTTGGAAGAACAAACAGAACAGAACAGTTGCGAGAACAATGATGCATCATTCTGAATACGCGAATGCGAATACTTTCAAGTTTGTTTAATCGAACATTTCGATAACAAATCTTATCAAAAGCCTAATGGGATATTAACATACTTTCCAAAAGGTTAAAGGTCTATACAATGAAGTGTTTTGACCAACTGTTTCCCATGCCATCAACTTTTCCAGAAACGTCACGCTTTCATCAGCACAATTACTGCTAATTGTTTAATTACGTGCAAGTTTTCTCATCAAATCATGATTTGAGTTTCATAAAATAAAATAAATTCTAAAGTGAAAGAAATGATATCGTAAAGATTATGCAATAAGGAGATAACGGTCATGTGAGTATGAAAGGCTAACTGTACACCTTAGGTTAAACTATCGGTCTTTTTATTCTCATTTACTGAATAAGTAAACAAGTGCGTGTTAAAAACATCCTAATCGATAACATAACAGGCAGTATTTTTTCCATTTGTAACATAATATTTAATTTTAATTACCGTCATATGTTTTAAAATCGTGCAAGCTTGTTGATTGTGTTTCCATGGTGTTTGTGACAGTGTTAAGTTTGCCATTTTTGTTAATGATTTTAATACTCTTCTTAATTTGTTGCGACCTTTTTATATGGATTATATTATTTTAACATTATTTAATTAATTTGTTACTTTTGTGTGTGTGCTGCATAATTTTATATTTTATGGAAACTGTACTTTATTGTATATACAGTTACTGTAATTGGAATGTTTTCCTCCTAAGAAAGGTAAATAAATTGATTGATTGATTTAAATATCTTAACTTTTATTAAAAACATACTGTCACCTACAAAGTAAACAAAATGTTCAAATGAAACTTTAAATTATGCTTATTTCAAGACGTAATACATCTTATTGAATAATAATAGTCCGAATTGGCGGCTCGGGTCATGTGACTTATAGTAGGTATTAGGATTTGTTTACATCGTGAGACGACAGTGCATTGAATATAACTTCGCCTTGTTGTTGATAGGCCTAACTCTATGTGGCCTATCGTACACTAGCAGCATTCCAGAGCCTAACTAAAATGCACAGAGATTGCCAAAGTAATATTAAAATTCACTATTTAAAAAGAAACATAGGCCTACTGCCTTACTTTACTTTGGGTCGCTGTCTAAAAAACACAATAAACTCTCTCAATATACTGTGTTCAATGAGCGCACTGTGGTTTACGATGTGTATGTTTATATTTTGTACCACTATATGTCACGTGACCAGTAATAGCTGGGGTCGCCGTTTATTTTAAGCCAAATAACAGGAATTAGAAATAAAGTAAACTTACTCAGGACATTTCGAGATTAATCTAGTCTCCTTCTCAATTGAAGTAATACATCTAACTTTAAAAAATTATTAAATTTCCTGGCAGAAATTTAAAAATAAAATTGCATAGGAACAAAATTCTTGTTTTTTTAAAATTATTAATAATAATAATAATAACAATAATAATAATTATTATTATAATAATAATAACCTACTCCTTAAACTAAGGCATGGTTGGCCGTTGGCTCCGAGGGGTTCATCCGCTCTTTGTTCAGATGTGTTTTTTTTTCATGCTGCTGGGTGTCCATCCACCCTTCCATCGGCGGCCGCTAAAGACCACCAGATGGGGTTGCCGGAATTAGTCGCCGACGACTCGACCGGATGCAGTTTATGACACTTAGATAACTATTGAAATAAATTCTATAAATATAAGCAATCCACATTTCGTTTTCATTTTTCGAATTGATTTAATCTAGGCCTCTGTGGCAGTATGTCTTTATCGATATTTATGTTAGCCTAATGATGGTGTTGGAAACTTGTCAGTTGAAGGCTTATAACTTATTAAACTAATCTCACAAATTAAACAATTCATATTTTCCAATTATTTGATTTGATTTAGACCTCCGTGGCAGTATGTCTTTATCAATAGTTATGTAATGCTGTATTTTATGGGAATTACTATAACAGTTAGGCCTTTACAACTCAATCATGATAATAATAATATATAGGTTTTCAATATAGATATGATTATTTGATAACAATGTTTTGATGATGCCTTTTATACATTGTCTTTTTAACCTTCAAACAATTAAAAAATTCAACTATTTTTATTTCTCTCACATCCAACAGCAAGCACACTCGCCACTTACAGGGTGAGAATGATACTTTATAAACTGCTTAGGGAGTGGAGTTGCTTTTACTCGCTAGAAAAAGTCCTGCTGTGACAGTAATTGAACTCAGGACCATGTAATCAGAAGGCGAGCATCTTAACCACTGAGCTATTCAACTCCACTACAGTTTTTCATTGATAGTGCAATAAAATGAGTAATTGATTGATTGATTGATTGAAAGTACATGACATAGGTAAACGTCTGAAATGGTACGATATTTCTCAACATATGTAGGAATAGCTGTAAATACTGTACACACAAAGTTAACGAAAACACTTAATGAAATGCAAAATAGCTAACTTGACATATTACTTTATGGAGGATTGTTATTTCTCTTTGTATTAGGCCGTGAACCTTCTTGATTAATTTCATACATTATCCACCTAATTAAGTTGCTCGGTTGTTTTCGATTTATCATCGTCATTATGTAGAAAAACATCATGACCTTAATTTAGGAGATCCTTCCGTTATAGTGAGTCAACAGTTGATGCTAAGGACATCGCAAAAAGTTTGAAGTTTAAAAGCACAGGCGATGCAAGTCTACGCCTCAAATTGAACCATAACAACGTCTCGTGCTGCTGGTCGGCCAGACTCTTGCGCTTAACAGAAAACCGCTTGCATAGGTTTTTAATATCTTCTTAAAGACATACACAAGGATAAAATGTCTTCTTTCCAACTTAATATGTATTCGCTCTTCATTCTTTTATTCATTTGTGACATTTCAGGTGAGTCCCATTTATTATATACTTATTACCGTTATTTTCAAATAGACTTATATAAAATGGTTAAATCTACTTTATACGATTAAAAACAGGAATATGGCTATGCATTTTCTAATAGAGTATTGCTGAATAAAAGTATAATATTTAAATAATTAAAATAGTGACGATATTAGTTATTTAGATGTATTAGAAAATAAATTTCTACATTCCGCTCTCGGAGAAGTAAAATGTTCAGATTTTTTGTATTAGTATATTGAGAACATAGAACTTGGCCTATTTATTACCGATTACAGACATGTTAACTAACAATGTAATGAAATAGAAATATTAAGTAGACTTGTTTTAAAGTTTTGCAAGTTCGTTTTAAAGCATTAGGTGGTAAGTTAAACATTCATTGCCACCCGAAAATACCTCTCCAAAATTTAGAATATGGACTCATTAAAAAAAAAAAACCACAATATTATACTGTCTTTAACTTCGATAAGTCAGTTTAAAGAAGTATATTATTGTTTAAATTTTCAAGTATAAGGCTATATTTGATGTTGAACATAAGTTTCAATGTATTTTCTCCCTCTTTCGATAACATTTTTAAAAGCTATACATTTTTAGTTATATAAACGGTATCTTTATTTCGAAAACATCAAACAAATACAAACTCATTCAATTGCAGAAATAATGTTAAGACACTCACATTACAAAAGAATAACAACACCAAGTTATGATTGCTTAATGTGCTTATAATTTTGCATTAAATGTACTTGCTACGCTATTTCAAAAAGTGTATATTCTTAAAGAAATTAACAAAAAAAAAAGGGGGGGGGGGAACAATAACTTGATATTTGTTAACCTGTTTTGATCCAATATTTTATGTTTTGATCCATTAACAGTCATTTGGAGTGTTTTTATTTAGCGACTTTGTAGTCGTCCAACTTTCAACTCCATAATATTGTATAGTTTGATTAAAACAAGTATTAAAATTAATTTCGGTAATTTGTGTATGTATTTGTTGATCACAACGAACATAAGTTTCAATGTATTTTTCTCCCTCTTTCGATAACATTTTTAAAAGCTATACATTTTTAGTTATATAAACGGTATCTTTATTTCGAAAACATCAAACAAATACAAACTCATTCAATTGTAGAAATAATGTTAAGACACTCACATTACAAAAGAATAACAACACCAAGTTATGATTGCTTAATGTGCTTATAATTTTGCATTAAATGTACTTGCTACGCTATTTCAAAAGGTGTATATTCTTAAAGAAATTAACAAAAAAAAAAGGGGGGGGGGGAACAATAACTTGATATTTGTTAACCTGTTTTGATCCAATATTTTATGTTTTGATCCATTAACAGTCATTTGGAGTGTTTTTATTTAGCGACTTTGTAGTCGTCCAACTTTCAACTCCATAATATTGTATAGTTTGATTAAAACAAGTATTAAAATTAATTTCGGTAATTTGTGTATGTATTTGTTGATCACAACATATCTGTCTATAGTATTCTGATGTTAAATATTTCATGTTATATTGAATTCAAATTTATTGTATTTTAACCGGATAATGTTGCACAAAATATACTATGTTATTCTGTCCTCCTTTTTTTTATCTAAAATTTTACAATTTTTTTTATAGGGTAAATTTTTGGAAAGCGTAGTTGTTAAATTATTTATTCTAACACATTTTACTTAAAGTTAATGCTATACCGGTACCTAATATGGCGAGCCGAGTTCCATATACCACATCCTCTAATATTGAAACAAGAAGTATTATCAGTTATCCCCTGGTTTTAAAGACTTGCTTCAAACCTCAAATTTGCATGTTTTGGTATTAAGATAAAAAAAAGTTAAGTATAATGAAGTGTTTTTGACGAAATGTTACCGCCATGCGCACGCCCTAAATTACACACTTTATTAAGATACCGTGATAAAAAAGCCTAACAGAAAATCAAAGTATCCTATTTGTTTCATTTATTAACTTTTTTTTGCCAGTTGCTAATCTGAATGATTCAGGTTATTAACAAAATGAAAGTTGAACATTAATTTTTCGTACCTTAAATGCGATTTCACATTACAGTACTTATTGATGGAAAAGCTTATGTAAATTATGTATATATTTTGTAAATCAGTGGTTACCGTTTTAATCTCCAAAAACAAAATCCCAACTAACGAGAATTGTCACCCCTTGGGCGATACAACACTTTGTTGGCCTTATGCAGATCACCAATGCTTAATGTAAATCATTAATTCATTTTGTAATTCATCCCTCATTAATACATTATATCAATCACCAATAATAAAACGTTATGTAACGTATACATTTGGTGAACATATAATTAAAAATGCGTTATGTAAATTATCATTCATGAATATATTATGTAGATAAAATTTCTTAGTATTGCATCAATCATAAATACATTACGCAAATCATTATCCATAAAATACATTACGTAAAACAATAGTTATAAATACATGCGATATGCAGAGTATTAATCATGAATATATTATGTAAATTAACATAATAAAATACAATAATTATTTTAATGTATAACTTAGAGGAAACAGTGGCGTGTTTTTCATTGGATATTTCCTCTTGACTTTAATAATTATTTAGTAAAATATTAATCACTGCAAAAGATAAAAATGACTGGACTTTTTAGCCTCAAGCGAATGCCATGAATAGACTGAAGTATTTGAAATAGGAAGTATTTCGTTATATTTTGCTCTCTAGACTAGTCTTTCTGAACGCAGTATTTTATCTTAAAGCCGCCATTAATAGTTCATAAACAGCTGCTTGTCACACGCTGGTTTGTTGAGTTTTAGTCATACGTCGTGTCATGAGTTTCCTTCCCTTAGCGCAACAGAATGGGGGTAGCAGATTAGTAGGTTTCGTGATTACAACAAATTTGGTATAGTAACCTTTTAATCTATCATAAATGTGTTTATTATAAATATTTGACATTTTAAAATTCAAGTAGAGGGCGGTGTTCAAGTTTTAGAGTGAACGAAATGTTCTGTAGTTTGATGCAGTTATATTTTTTATTCTTCAGTGTCAGCTAAGTGGGGATACGGACCAGATAACACAGGTGAGCAATACGTTTATTTCATATATTAAATTTATAAACTATATCTTTTCTCAACAAATTCCACCCTTGGTTTAATTTTTGATACATGTATGGGAAAAACAAACACATGTTTTAAATGACCCTGCTAATAATGTTAATAGTTTTTTTTCTTTCTTTCTTTACATGATTTTATAAATAGACATTATCTGTACTTCTGTTGTGTATTTGATATGTATATTTTTACATCCATTTCACATTGCGTTTATTATACTATGTGTTTGTTTTTATTTATTTATTTTTATTTACTCTATTTTATTATTATTATTATTATTATTATTATTATTATTATTATTATTATTATTTTTAGTTAAAGTTTAGTATAATATTATTTTAATTGCATTTGGATTTTTCATTACTATTATCTCCTTTTTATGAATTTTATCTTTACTTCCTGCGTGAGAGTGTTCCTCTGCTTTAAAAATGCGAGCCAATAAATTATTATTATTATTATTATTATTATTATTATTATTATTATTATTACTTATCCAATTTCATTTTATTTATTTTCCCCAAATAATGTGCAATATAATAAAATTATTTACACATTTTTTAGTAAAATGAATTGTATTTAAAGGCTATATAAAATAGTAATCAAATGTAATTAATAATTTATTCAATATAAAGAGGTCTATTAGTAATTTTACGACATGGGATTTGCTAAGTCGCCTTAAAGGAACGATTTGTTTACAAGGTTTAGATTATGTTGATACAGGTTCTTATTATTTTAATTGTCCTTAACGACAAATATATGATATTGGTATTTGTATTTGATATTTAGGCCCAGCATTCTGGAAAACAAATTATAACCAATGCGGAGGTGTCAGCCAATCACCTATAAACTTAGATGATACAGTGGCAGAAGTAATTGACCTGGGAAATTTCCATTTAGAGGGTTACTTTGATGCTCCTGAACCAGGTGTTATGAAGTTAAGGAACAATGGTCACACAGGTATGTTGATTAATAAAAAGTGTATACTACTGGCTTAAAACTCAAATTTGCATATCTTTGATTTTATTGAAAAGGCTGTGTTAACGAGAAGGTGTACTACAATACGGCCTCAATATGCCTATACACTGTCTAATTATTATAAAATTACAGGAAATATAGGGCTTTTATATTCAAAGTTTGTAGCCCCTGGCACAGAGGCCTGATATCACCGATTTCCCATGCCTGTCAACAAAATACTGTAGACATGACGTTTTTATTGGTTCTGAGATTGCCATAAAACGTCCTGAAATTATTTTTGGTAGCTTATTGGTAAAATTAATTCGAGTAGAAACTTTCTGTCATGTCTGTGCGTGCAGGCCTATGTGTTTACATGCCTAGCCAATGATGCAGCCCTGCGCGCACACTGCGTCGGCGACCGGGCAGCTGACGCAACTCCATAGACTATGCCGCTATCCGTCACGCGATGAATCGTGATTGACGATCTGCTCAGACAGTAACCGACGGTCAATGGACTGGCGTTGGGTCGCTGATGGAGTGTGCGTCCGGATTTCGTGAAAGAGATTTCCAGACAGGCACACACTGCGCCAACATTCCTCATCGACGCACTTCTACGCTATGCGACGAGAGGTGCGCAACGAGTTGCTTTTAATGACGACCTGCTAGTCGCGTCGTCAAGCGCTTAGAGAGCGGAGATGGGACTCATCATCGACCAATGGTCTGGCCCGATGCAGTTTGTGACCATAGAAGAAAAAGTACAACTTACTTCTCCATCATGAATACATCGATACAATCGCTTGGCAAAATGTCCCTATTAAACTCAAATCAAATTCTGTATAAAAAATGTTATTTTTCGTTTCGCAGCTTCTGTTGATCTTCTTCGAAATTATACGGTATCTGGAGGTGGTCTCGGCGGTACATATAAAGCACTACAGTTTCATTTCCACTGGGGTGCAAAGAATATGAGAGGATCAGAACATGCTCTCAACGCTAAATTTTATCCTGCGGAGGTAAGATATATTTATAACATAACCTATTAGTTCCTTCCTACATGTTTTAATCTTGAAGTTTCAAGTTCATTTTTGTTGATATCTCACCGTCGCAGCCAAGGCTTAATTGATTTATTTGTATTAAGTGAATTGCAAAAATCATTTACGAAATTACATTTCAAAAATTGTTAGTTGTAAATTAAATTTGAAATGTAGGCCGAAAGGGAAAAAAAAATGCAAATTAAACGTCTGGACACCTCTCCAGGTGGTACGTTGTTATACGTGAAGTCCATGTTGCTTAAAAACAAATTTATTTAAATTAAGTAATCCTCGTTTTTAATGCTATAATTAATGCATTACAATCTTATGTAGAAATAATTATTGGCTGTCTTTTAAAACTCTTGTTGCATTTAATATCTGCTCCTTATTTTTTTTTTTCATAATAAGATAATTTGTATTTTTGAGGCTGATAGTATGCTTAGCCATGGACAGTCGGATTAGGAAAAATGAAAATTAGATTTAAATTACCGGTATGGTAAATAACAATCCTAACTAAATTGTAACATTTCATGTATGACCTGTGAAAAAAAAAATAGGTATGTTATATATTTAGAATTACTATTTTTAGTGATGACTGATATTCAAAGTACAGGGACTGTTACGTGATATTAGCCTAATGATGGCTATTATAACTATTAAATGTGGCTTACTTGTGCACATTGATAACTAAAATTACTAACGAAACACCTGTTCCAATCAGCGGCTGTTAGTATTTAAATTTCGCGCATACTTTGATCATTACTTCATTACTCCAAAGTTAAGAAATTTTATGGTGGGATATTACTTTAGTGGTTAAGATGCTTGCCTTCGCGATCATACCCTGTGAATACTCTCCTAAGCTTAATAAATAGATTGAAACCCGACTTTTCTTAATGCTAAAAACCAAAACCAATTCAAAGTCAACACATTGTAGTATCCAATTGAGTTAAAACACTACTTTCTTACAGCTGCACATCGTCCATTGGGATAACACAACTTTTCCAGATGTTTCCACAGCAATCAAGTCACCGAGAGGACTCGCCGTACTAGGCTTTTTCATGGATGTAAGTTATATTGCGAGTATAAATTGCATTCTTCAAATTATGAACTTGGTACAGGTGTCACTCCAATTAAAAACCACTTTTGGGACCACAGTTTTCATGGACTTTAACAGCTTTGGTGTCTAATTAGAATAATAAAAATAAAAGACAATTGTAAATATAGAACCACAGAAAAGTGGTCCTTAATTGGAGGTGGTTTTTAATGGGAGGGGTCTTTAATTAGAGTGAGCCCTGTGTTTTGTATTATATGTTGTAAATTGAATTACAATTACTCGTAACTGAAATGAAAAGTAAGGCAGTATGGTATGCAGCAATGATACAAGCAATTTTAATTATGCGTACTTCCAGATCAATATTATACAGCATCCAAGCTCAGCACAAGTATTATTTTTATCATTACAGATTTGCACACCAACGAATCCTGCCATGGAAAAATTTGGCGTAGACATACCAAGAATAGAACGTGAAAGTAGGTGGCGTAACGTTACAGGACACCTTAGAACAATGTAATGAAAAAGAGAAATAATTAATGCAATCATTTGAAATTACGAGACATATTATTTTGTCAGTGAACCTTTCGTTATCTGGGAGGGTGTAATTATATTTAGATTAACAATAATCTGGGTTGGTTCTTTTATTTTATTTGTTTGATAGGTTTCCATATTAGCAATGGTGATTGCTAAACTTAATATAATAAAGTTATTGTAAACTTGTACTGTGCTCATATAATGAACCCCTCTGGAAATAAGTCCCTTAATAGAGAATTAGAGGGTTATCAAAATGTCTCTATTTCGTTTTTTGACGTGTTTTTTCTTTATGTTTTGTATATTTCTGTTTGTATGTACAGCTGAGATTTAAAAAAAATTAAATCAAATATTATGCAAGCCTGTCATATTAATAATAATATACGAACTTATAAAGAGCCTGTCAGAATACTGTACCAACTTTGAGATACAACAGCTTTCAGAGAACTACCTTTCTATTGCTTTATCAGTTTTTTAATGACGTTACTACTTTCCGTATATTATTGTTATATTTTTTTGATGTTGTAATTATGCTTAAAATACTAAATTTTAGGTGATGTCTCTATCCCAATGACCCAACTTATTAGACTAGGAGACCTCATCAAGGGTGCCAAAATGGACGATTACTATCGGTACAACGGTTCTCTTACGACACCCGGATGTTGGGAAAGTGTCGTCTGGACAGTCTTTAAGCGGCCAATTTGTGTTTCTCCAGCTACGGTAAGTTACCTTAATATAAGCGTGCTTCCTAAAAGTGTTTTATAATAGTAGGAAAAACGTGTGGGCTAAATAAACTTGCTTCAATTTCTTACTCTTATTACAGATTTCAAGGTTTAGGATGTTAAAGGGAACTACACCACAAAGAGTTGTCGCTCCAATTTTGGACAACTTTAGGCCAATACAAGCACTCAACTCCCGCACACTTATCCACAGTGTTCGACCAGGAAGTAGTAAGTAGAACAGACATTGTGTAGCGGTGCATGTACTTAAATATTACGGTATATGTTTGTCTCAAGTAGAATTTATCAAACCGAGAAAAATTAAGAAAAAATTTTTAAACATTAAACGGAGACTCCAAAGTGACCCAAATCGCTTTTGACCCCTTAAACAAAAATAAAAGATGCATATAATAAAAGATGTACAAATATTTTTTTTGAGGAACTGTAGATACATTCCATTTGTTAAGTAAAAGTTTTGGACACATTTACCTACCTTATTTATTCGCATATGGGGCGATTTAGCTTTAAATGTCCTAGGACATGATATGGTTTTTCTCTATAAATAAATGTGTTAACTCGTATTTTAGTTGTGATCTTGTACATCTGTTTGGTTTGCATGTTAATTCTAGAAGCCTTCGTTCCTGTCTTACATTTAAGGTCCCCTTTTGTAGAGTTGATGTCTGTAAACGTAGTTTTATTTATGGACTTCTTCTTCAATATAATTCTCTTATTTTAACCTCTAATATTGACATTTTTCACAATAGTTTGTCTATATTTTGTTCTATTATTATTAATCGTTTGAATAGGTGAGATTTTCGTACTCTTTCGTCTGTATATTTGATATATTTAAATTTTAATTTTATATATTTTACCAGCCTGTTAGTGGCGATGATTCGCTGTCGGTCTGTTGAAATGGTAATGGTAATGGTTGGAGACTTATATAGCGCGAAGTACATGGTCTCTATGCGCAAATCAAGAAAAAAAAAACAAAAAAAAAACAAAAAAAAAAAACAAAGCTATCCTAGGCTACACAGAAACTAAAAGTCAGAAGAGACAGACTATTGCAGAAGAGCCAACACCATTGCGATCGTTTTCCTGCAATCTGAGACCACTGGCAATGGAAATAAAATAAATAAACTTAGTGAAACACTTATCAATTTTTGTTTTATTTAGGGCATAGCGACTTTTGCCAGCAAGTGCGGGTTCCAATGTGTCAAGAAGTTGGGTTTTCCATGACATCATTCCCAAATATGTTTGGCCATCAAACACAAGAAGAAGCCGGACGTGAGTTAGAGAGGTGGAGGGTTCTGATCGACTCCGCTTGCTCTCATCGCCTTCAAAATTTCCTCTGCTCCGCATATATTCCCGCGTGTGATGGTGGTGCTTCATTCATACCTTGCCGAGAGACTTGCCGTGACGTTCAGAAAAATTGCGCTGTGGCTATGCTGAAGACCAGAATTGATTGGCCTAAAGAACTCACTTGTACTCCATTGCCTGGCTTAGGAAAAACAAATCATGATTGCCTTGCAGGTAAACATAGTGATAAACTACCATATAGATATTGTGTTAAATGCTTGCGGTACACTAAGTAGTTAGTTCCGAAAAGAACTCTTCTTGTTATTGAGAATTTCTTGACGTTTCGATTGAGTTGCTTCAATCGTGATCAGGAGAATAATACAGTATATGCAGAGAATCAAAACAGAACTATCTGCGTGACGTACCTCAAGCATTTAACATAAAATTACTTCACCATGCAAACTTTCAAACGATATTCATATAAATATTCTTACATATTTATGCAATGATTTTTTTACTCATGACCAAAAAACGCCATTCTCTAAACCGTTTATTGAGATTTAGTTTGTGTAAAGAATCATGTGTTTACATTTGTCTTGTGCAAGGGAATGTCACCGACAAGTAGTACAGTGATATATTCGCTATTGACAATCCTTTTCATGTGTTGTGTACCTAAATAAATAAATAAATGAATTTATTCTATCTTATACAAATTTGATACAACATATATCTATATAATTTAATTTGCTTTTGTAATCACTGGCCACCAACGTGTCGAAAGACTGTCGATAAAAATGAGAATCAGTTTATCCAAATATTGCATACTACAGTATACCAAGTAAATATGTTGAATAATATTATTTCAGAAACCAGGCCACCTTTATCAATAAAACAATTGACGATCAGCCAAATATCGAGAAATCGTGTTAAGTTGTCTTGGATTGGACCAACCCACACACGAACTGAGGTGCGACATTACGAAATCACTATGTCCAACCGTATTTCGGGACTGATGCACAAAGAAACCGTATCCGTTTCCCGTGATGAGTTTAACACCGGAGCGCTTAGGCCCGGTATCTACATATTTACAATCAAAGCAGTCAACTACCTTGGTGATGGACCAACTGAGACCAGATCAATCAACGTCAAAGATATTATAGGTAAATATCAATATAGCCTATATAAAGGAATTTGTCAAAAAGAGGATCTTAAAATAAATATATTCAAAAGACAACTTTTAAAACTTCAATAAATATATTACTGTATATATTCATTATGAATTTTAGACCGGTTGCTATCAACTGAAATGCATGGAGGAGTAATGTCTTTCAATAAACCTAGGCCTAGGCATTATAGTTTATTAAAAAAAATGTCAATTGACCGACCGATAGATTTAAACATAATGCGCGGAGCTTCACACAATCATTTTGAGCTAAATTATGAATGTCTACTACTACCACTACCACTACCAATACTACTACCACTACAACCACCGCCACTACCAATACTACCACTACCACTACAACTACTACTACTACTACTACTACGACCAAGACGGCAGTAAGTCAAAACGCAAAACGATGCTGAACAATCTGTCATAAAAGTAAAAACGCGAAAAAAATAAACTAATTTTAAACATTAAAGTGTACTACGATTAACTACAGTAAAAATGAGGCTAAATAGCAGCAGCAGCAATATTATTATTATTATTATTATTATTATTATTATTATTATTATCATTATTATTATTATTATTATTATTATTACCAATAATAATAATAATAATAATAATAATAATAATAATAATAATCATACAAATTCAATATTAAAAAGATTATTGGGGGTGGGGGCAATATAAAAACAGTAAAACATTTAAACAAATAAAACTTTCAAATACAGACAAAATGAGGCTAAACAATTTATGTCATAAAAGTAAAAAAATGCGAAATACTGTAATAATAATAATGTGTGGGGAAAAGGGCCCATGGCAATATTCGATTTGCCTATCGGGACAATTTTTAAACGATTCCGAAAATTATAAACTGCGGCTCGCGCCCCGTTGGCGCTTGCTAGTCTTGGCATTGATTTCGCTCCTTTGCCATTTCGGTCTATGTCGTTTTGGTACTTGTCATTGCCGTTTTGGTCTGTTGCCGTTTTGTACTTCTTGTTGTTTTGGTTCATTGCCGTTTTGGTTATTGCCGTTTTGACCTGCTACCAACTGCTGCAGTGCTAGGCTAGGCCACCAGGTAGGCCTAGCCATACTAAGGTCTGGGCTTAGCCTAGGCCTAGTAGTATGGTAGTACTTACGGTAGTCTAGGCCTAACATCTGCCAATTGAAGCGTAGGTCGTAACCTATTATTTGTCTTCATAGTACATCATTATTTTTATTATTATTATTATTATTATTATTATTATTATTATTATTATTATTATTATTATTATTATTATTATTATTATTATTATTATTATTTATTATTTATTATTATTATTATTATTATTTTTATATTATACTTATTTTTATATTATACTTATTTTTATATTATACTTCACTTCGTTTAAATAAGATTGCCTATATGGAATCTCTGTACACTGATGATGACAGTAGGATCTGTCGAAACATGTATGTAGCGTAAGGCCTAGCAATGGCTAGGCCTTATTAAATTGTTCAGGCAATGAATAGGCCTTATTAAATTGTTCAGGCATTGCCTGAAATGATCGTTCTCAAAAGTATCGTCATATTTTTTAATTTTATTATTATTATTATTATTATTATTATCATCATCATCATCACAAACACCATTAGGATATTCGTCATACATACTTTTATAAATTGTTTTTCAGATGAAAATTCTCGTTTCAACGTACATATTCTGCCCCGACAGTATTCGATTGTAAATAGGGGAGAACCGAACATGTTTAAGGCATTTGTTGATGTCCAAGCTCAAGGTGTTTCAAATGATTACTGCAGGTAAAACCCCGCCACCAACTTGCTTTTTTGTGCAAAACTGGACCTATCTGATTTTGTTGGTATAACATGTGTACGTAATTTCCTACTACCTAAATGTATTGAAAAAGCTCATTTCTCTAATGGAATTGGCTTCTTCCAGCTTAAGACCCCAGATCTTATTATATATAAAGTACGTCCAGCAGCAGGTTGACTAAAAAATCGAACTTCTAAAGTACGTAAATCATAAGAGAATAGAGCATTTTGATTGTCTGCTGATATCGTTTTGTTATGGTGTTTGTTTTTGCAGAATTGTTAAAGACGGAACTTCATACTTCTTGACATGCGCATTGGCAGGTTCAGCAGTTGAGGGAGACATGAACTACAATGTCACTGGTCAACCAAACTTTATTCCTGGCTACCCAGACACTTGGTACATGAAAGACGAGAATAGTGACGGACGAGATGACTACTGTCGGTAAGTAAAATAGAATTTTTGAAACCTAAGTTGCATCAATCTATGACGTTACTTTACGTTACGTAATGTCAGTAGTACTTTACGTTCCGCTAATCGTACGTTTGCAGCATAAATTTTATACATTGCGGTGCGTTATGTCGAATTGTACACTTACAATGTGTCAATGCCAAAGTGATCATCCATTGTACGTTGAAGTTGCGTTATTGATAACTGAAGATATGTGGATATACGTTACTTTACACGTAGTGTCAGTAGTACGTTTACGTTCCGCTAATAGTACGTGTGCAACCTCAATTTTATACATTGCGGTACGTTATGTCAAATTGTACACTTACAATAGGTTAATATGCCAAAGTGATATCCATTGTACGTTGACGATGCGTTATTGATAACTAAAGATATGTGGGTATTTTCAAAAAGTATACGAGCTCGTATCCGTTTAAGTATATAAGTTTTCATAATAATTTAAAATATTGTGCGAGCTATAATCTACAGAGTTTTTGCATTAAGAGAATAAAAGCCCTAATGTGAAAATTACACTTATAATATAGTGGTATATAGAGGACTACAGTGTTACGTCATGATACCACGTAATATCGTTGCAAAAAGAGTTCAACCGGACGCCATTTTCTTCACTGACAAGCCATTGATCCCAATTTCTAACGTAATTATTAAGATGTTGTATCTTACTTTTCCTTTGTAAATTTTAATTGATGATTAAATGTATGTTCGATAACCAATATAATGCGAGCTTTTGTGTTTTTAGTACATTTGATGGTAAAATATTAGATTTTAACAGACAGTTAATTGCTATAAGCATGGGTTCAGAATTGTTTATTTGTGATTTGCGTTGCCATTGATCTTACCTATTTAATGCATTACATAATAAAACTTGATCACTGATATACTGATAACACTGGCCGACTGAGGGCGTATTTTTTTATCCGTATTATCACCTCATGAATATTCATTTTAATAATTAACACAAACAATTACAATAAAAAATGATTTATAAATTGAACTAAAAGGGAAACTATACATGCGAAAAACACGGGTTTTTTTCAAATTTTAATGCATTTTCAGGAAGCTTGGGTAATTTTGGGCAATTTTTGCTAAATCTTGGGTAATTTCGACCCAGTCATTGGGTATATAAAAAATGATGAGTGGTCACGTTGGTGGTAATCTAAGTGGTCTTCAAATGGATTGTTTTGGGGTTAGAAACAAAAAATAATGAACAACATATTTAATTTTACGGTTTATGTTCACAGGTGCATTGACGTTGGAATGAGAACGCAATTCTCTTGCATACCAGCTGGAGTTGGTGGATTTGAAGGTGCTTATGAATTCCCGCCAGTTCCGCAAATACACAGTTGTCAAACATTGCATATAAATCATATCCTAGGCCCATAGATGGATGAGAGATGCAATCAATCAACCTAAAACTTTTGTTGCTAAATGATCACCCAGCGTTATTCTAATCCTACCGTTATAGTTTCCTCAAAATCGTTATGCGATATTGCCGACAGCTTTCGGCGACGTAGATTCGCCTACAGAATCGCGGAGCCATCCAAATTATGCCGGAGACAACTACTCAGTTCAGTGTACGACTGTGAAAGGATGTCGCAAGAGTGTAGCAATTTTATGGATACCGGGCTGAACACCCTCTCTAGGCCAGTACAATGTAATTGACAGTTGAATATAAAGAAAACCAAGTCTGAGGCTGGACCTTCAGCAAAAAAGAATAAAGACTATAACACAAAACTGGTGTGGGAAATGCAGTTGAGAAAATGTTGAAAACCTCAA